ATCCCACTGATCCCTACAATCAACAATTTTATAATCACCCCACTAGACAAGATGTTATAAACCTTGATCAGTCCTATTCCTCAATGCAAGGAGAGGATCCTCATTCGTCGGAATCCTATCATTCCCAACAGCCATTCGATGTCAATCGGGAAAACTGCTATCCATCTCAATCCCATTCCAATCGTGATTTCTATAAAGCTCATCCGTATACAACATCTACCCATGATGGTGGTCGTCGTTTCTCGTCTTATACTGAAGAACCAAGAACGTCATCCGATAGCCGTTCGCATTTCGCTCAGCATGAGTTTTACTATGAGTCAGAAGCCATTAAGCGAACATCTCATCGACCACCGAGACATCCAGGGGATCCCTTCCCTTCTTCCAATGTTGTTGATTACATGCGGGGTGATCAAGGACAGAAGATGGCTGACAATCTGAGTCGCCCATCTTCCAGTCTTCCTTCTTTCCGACAGTCAACAAGTGGGTTACCAGCCCTCGCGGATAGCCCTCTTTTTCGCAATAAGAAAACATTTGAAGGAATTGAACGTCCCAAGACTGCAACAACTGATCGTTTCTCGATGGTTTCAAATGGTTCATTTGATTCTGATCGAATTCGTTCAATCAATTCAGGAGGAATATCGAAATACACATCAATGGAAAATCATCAGAGAATTGAACCAGAAGAAATCGTTGGGACTCCTCCAGCAAACAAAAAGCATTCAGAAAATCAGGTGATCCCTGCGCTTAAGCATCAATTGTCTCACAATGAAGAAGAAGCGCAAAACGTCATTCAAGGACCTCTTGATTTTGAAACGCTTCTGGAAGAAACTCTCAAAAAAGAAGAAACAAAAATGGAAAGTCATTTAATGGATGAAGAAACTGGAGATAGAGAGCCATACTCATCAGAAGAAAACGCCATGACTGAGACGAACAGAGCGATCCCGAAAAAGCCATTTTTGAAGAAAGGATCCAGAAACCCGTTTACAGTGATTCCCCCTAAGGCCCCGCTTCCAAAAATGGCAAGAAAACCGACCTCAGCATCATCTGGCAATGCGGTTTATCAGCAGATCAGTCGAGAATGTCAGAATACTAAAACGGCGAATCCGAAGAAAGCGGTGGTGCCCTCAACGCGCTCGACATCCACGCGTGGAAGACGGTTCTCGACTCCGGCACAAGGAATACAGGAGCAGCAAGAAGGAGTAAAGCAGAAACGTGTGTCTCTTGAAACGAATCAAAAAAGAACCGCTGGAATCCCCGAAGGCAAAGAGATGGGGCGCGAACGAAAGGTAGCACCAGGGGGTTTAACGCGATTGACTGCAGGAGTGACTCGCGTTGGGCAGCAGAAACAAGACCCCTCTGCTGAGAGTCGTCGCTGTCCATCTAAGGAGGAGTTGCCAAAAATCCATCTGAAATTTCCAACTGTCAGGGGACTGCAAAAAGAAAGAATGCAGCAAGAAAAAGAGGAAGAATTAAGAAAAAAACGAGCTGCAGCATCCCCACTAGGAAGCGTAGTTGTTAAATCAGCAGCACGCCATTCCGATGCAGCGAAAATCAATGATGAAAGCGCCAGGAAAAAATCAGAAAATTTATTGACACTTGCGACTACAGTGTCAGGAGGCAACGATGATGAATCTATAGAAACGAATGAAGTTGTAAGCAGCAGGATTTCCTATGGAGGAGTTTCAGATCGCCCGGCATTTGATGAGATAGACGAAATTATAGAGAAAGAAGAAGTCCATACTGGAAGACAAAAAGCTGTTGCAAAAAGACAAATTCCAAAAAAAAGGGCTATACGAGAACGAGCAAAGTCACCTATAGAGCTTCTTGATGAAATCGATCTCCTCAGTGGATCTCCACCAATCGCAGATCAAAAGGTGAAAAGTGATTTTACAATGCCTGATCCCGCGTCGACGTTATTGGGGAAAATTCCCGAGTTCAGTTATGGCGAAATGAAACGAAAAGAGTTGCAAAAATCTGGAAAAATGGTGTTTGGGAATGAAAGTAGCGCTTGTATGAGGATTGAAGCCGCGGCACATCGATTGCAAAAGAAAGAGGGTGAGAAAACAGCAAATACGATTTGTTGTGCATTCATATCCTCAAATAGCAAAAGCGATGTCTTATTCATATCTCTTCTTACAGATCAATCAGGCTTTGCATCCAATGAATGCTTAGCGCTTGCTGCACAAGCACAAGCAAAGATAGCTGCTGTGGAAGAAGAAGTTAAAAAATTGAAGGCTCTGCAGCTTGATTTCAAACAAAAAAAAGATGTTCTGGATTCAGAAAAAAAAAGTTGGTTCATCGAAAGGGATAAACAGAGAATTGGGATTGCAGCGGAAAGAGAAGCAGCGATGGCGGACGTCGAATCTTCGAGAAAAGCTCTGAAAAGAGAAAGAAAGAAATTTGAAAAAGATTTAGAAGAATTACAAAATTTATCGATCAAACAAGAAAGAGTGGAAGAACAAAATCGGAATTTAAAAATATCTTTAGCTCAATTGCAAGTGAGTGACTTTAGTTAATGATGTGGGATCCTAATCTTCACAAATATTAAATGATTTAGGATGAATTCCTGGATAAGGAGGAAAGGTATCGATCTTTAATTGAAAGACTTCAAAATAAGGTTCATTTGCTTGAGAAAAAGAATCAATCATTAAATAGTTCAGTTGAGCAGTTTGAGAAAACATCACAACAGCTGAGTCAACGTCTATTGCGACAACAAAAAGCAGCAGCTCGAACAATTGGAATCAAAAATCAAATGATGGTGCCACGAAGTAAATCTCAACCGTCTATGGGAAGATTTTCGAATGTTAAAACAAAACAACCATTGGGATTTGGATCATCCCAACCTCGATTTCCCGGATCGTCCCTGTCATCCCATTCGTCAAAATCTATAAATGATTCTCGTGATGTTCAAAAATCGACTTCTGAGTTTCACACGGTGAATGGCTTCAATGATGAAATATATCAACAACGGCAATCGAGCAATCAATCAAGTCTGTCTTCATCAGTGGCTTCATCAGCTGAAGAAACTCTGTCTCTCGGCGGTAGTGGAGGACAGCGAATGAATACGAAGTTATTGAGTCACAGAAGTCCAGCACGCAGCTCAGAATTTGGAGCGAATGTTTCGACAGTTCCTGACGAGGAAAAGACCGAAGAACTCGAAGCTCGACGAAGACGGCCGTCCCAAAACAAGGGAACTGGCACTTTGAATCGCAGCAACAAACAGGGTTACAATTCAAGAGGAGGATTCAATGAAGAAGGACTAAAAGCAGCAGCAGATCAACAAAAAAAAATCGAAGAAGGGAGGAGTGTTCCATCAGCAACGATGAATGCGAAAAATCCACTCCCTCTTGAAAATTTCTCAGAGTTATTAAATTTCAATTTAGAAGAATCTTGGAAACCCTTCGATGATTCTTTGAAATTATTGGGTTTGCCAGACGCTTTAGAATTGATTCAAAGGCCTACAACAAAACCAGACGGAAGGCGTGAACTAATTTATAAAGACGGGCATCGAGAAATTGTCTTTAATGACAAAACCAGAAAAGTTGTTGTAAGTCTTTGTAATAATGATTTAGATAATTCTTGTTCCATGTTTAGACTCCTGCTGGATGGATTTTCAGTTTTTTTACAAATGGGGACATTCGTGGTATTCAACCTATAGGAACTCAAGTACGGAAAATACAAGCAAATTGTTTCGGTAAAAGTCTTGTCTTTTCAGTTTTATTACTTTCATCAAGACACAATCTATAACATTACTACTGCAGATGGGAAAGCATATAATGTGTACGTTGCGGTCAATTCATGGATAGCATTTATTTCATTGACGGCTTCTTCCAGATTTCCTGATGGACAAGTCGATTGTGCGTATCCAGATGGGAAAGTTCAAGTCCGATTTCCTCAAGGATTTTTGAAGCAAATTGATCAAGATGGAGTTGAGCACATTCAAACCTTTCGGTAACATTTTGTAGAGTTTCGGAATTGTAATTAGTTTTCAATCAAAATTCGTTTTAGTTTTTTTATCTAAGAAGTAGAGAATGTAAAATTTTTCTTCTCGAATTGTTTGAGAGTTACCGTTGACCTCGTTAATCAATTTGTACCATTTTTTTGAAAAATTAAAAAAAAAGAACATTTCATACGAAGATAAACAGCAATTTGCTGTAATGAATATACTAGAATTGAAAATGTTGCTATTGGTTGAACGATTCCGGAGGGGAATCATGATGAGGGGGTTTAGATAATGACGATGATAATCTGATCGTCATTGTTGGCGGATGTTGCGTTGTCGATATGACAGATTCATTTTCAAATTCATCTACTGGCGTCATCTCTTCAGCTTCGTAATCGTCTTGCGCATAATCTTCTTCACTTTCCTGTTCGTATTCGTATTTTTCTTCCTCAACTACAGAGTCATTTACATAAGCGTCACACTCGCTAATTTCCGTCTTTTCCATTAAACTCGATTCCGCGTCTAATTCCGTCTCCTCATCTTCCGAACTGTCAGAACTTCCAGGCGACAACTCAAGCAACTGTTGTGAAGAAACAAACGATGAGAACTAGATTGTATTTCGGCTCAGATATTCATAAACGTCACCTTTTTGATCTTCTCTAGATCTTGTGCATTCTTCTTGCCTCTTCTTCGGTCAATCTCAGCAAAATCAATGCAACAGTATCGTCTTGCGAGTTCCATTACCACGCCTTGGAGTTGAAGTGCCTAATGTCAATCACAACAACGCATCAACCACTCATTCTTATTCTATATTAGCGACACTCCGTTCAATCATAGCGACACTCCATTCAATCATAGCGCGACTTCATTCAATAATTAGCGCCAATAATCAGCGACATTCTACTGGCTAAACCTACTTGATGAAATAGTGAATGATCGGGACCATTGAAGAGCCGACAATTGCTTGAAATGCGAGAAAGGTACTTCTCCAGGGTTCTGCGAGACAAGACAAACTATATAACTATGCGCTCAAAGGAGATAATTATGACAATAATTCTTACACAAGGGATGAGAAGTTTTGTCTTTCGGCAAACGTCTTTATATGCTGAAGGCACATTGGTTGCTGTATGATATCAGCGTAGGTTGGATGGTCCACGGAGTTGGGAACGTTGATAAATGGGATAACGGAGGCTGCTGATACATCTCGATTTGCATTTGAACAAATTTCCGAAATCGCTCTCAACACGTTCTTGTTTATCAATGACTTCTTAGTGGAAAGAATTTCGGGAGAATCCTTTTCTGCTGTGATGATATCCTGAAAGATAATATAGAGTCATCAGAATTCCATTGACAAAATATATAATATTTGAGCATCCCGATCCTAACGTACTCGATTCTTAGCAACCCATGGACAATCCTGTGCATATGCTGCCCTCCATTCATTTGCACTCGTCTGGCTCGGATTACGACTCAGCCGATTCAAAATTGGTGGAAAACCAGATTGAAGAATCAGACCGCCGAGGCCCAGCAACTACAACAAAGAACAAGGTTACTAGATGAAACAACATTATTTCAAATTCGAACTCAAGAAAAAAAAGAAGTTATCTTACTCTTCGTTTCTTATCGACTTTGCTAAAAACGGCCAACTCTTCTTCAGTTCGAGCGAGTATTCTGTTCACGACGCCGTGCTCATAAAATGTCGCGGATTGCCGTTGATTTTTTTTTGACAAGACGGCTTTCACTCTAAAAACAGTTCATCATCATCACTGAAACATCATTTTTCAGACTATCACAAGAACATCGCTAAGATTCCATCATAATCGAAATATCTATCCACTATCGAAATATCGATCAACCATTCTTACCTATTCCTCCGCTCGTCTTCGAGATCATGATGAGAATCGTAAAACATTCCGCTCTTAATCACCAAAGCGTCCTTATCAAGCTTAATTCCCGCCGCAGTTAAAATTCTTTCTTCGACCGTATCAGCTGTAATCAACCGAAGAATCAGAACTTCCCTCGTTTGCCCGATTCGATGCGCTCTGAGAAAATCATCGTCATTATTCCAATCGAATCACCAACATTTCCAAAAGAGTCGTCGATTTGTTCAAAATCAATAACACACCTGGATTGCGCTTGTTCGTCATTTTGCGGGTTCCAATCAGAATCGTATATGATCACAGTGTCAGCTGTTTGAAGATTGACACCCAAACCGCCCGCTTTCGTCGACAACAAGAATATAAAATAGGGCGAATTCGGTTGATTGAAGAGAGACAATCGGGTCAGTCGATCTTCACTAGATGTTGAACCATCCAGGCGTAGAAATGCCCAACCACGAAGGGAGAGGAAGACCTGAATTTAGTTGATAGAACAACGAAGTACGGATCAAATTCGCACCTCCAGAATATTTAACAATTTCACCATTTGAGAGAAAATGAGAACGCGATGGCCAGTTGCTTTCAATTTAGTCAGAACGTCATCAAGAACCCAGAATTTCCCACAGACCCGTAGCAAACTTTCATCGGCTGAACAAAATAGGACAGACAGCACACTTGATGCAGTATACGCGACATACAGTAAATATATAGATGCGATGGAGAGTCATGTATGCATGATCGACAGTACACTCGAAAACCAGAATATATTTAAGACAGAACGGGTAAGATATACAAAGATGGAGTCAAAGGTATGCGATATGGGAATATGCAGAGATGAAGCAGGATGTCGAAGGCATTCAATGGAGACCATTCAACTGACTTGGAATTTCTGGTCCAGCTGGGCCTTTGGGACAAAATAGATACGGATGATTGCACACCTTCCTCAATTGCATGAGAACATTCGAGGCGACGGATGCACCATTTGGTGTTTCTCTAGACTCAATCACTTTGTAGAGTTCTTGCTGAAGTCCGGACATCGGACACCAAAGAACTTCCTCATGCTTCTGAGGAACCTCGTTCTCGACTTCCTTCTTCTCTCGACGTAAGAGAAATGGCCGAAGAACCTGGTTAAGAAGACAGCAATGTCAAAAGCAATAATCAGATCAACAAGTAAAGCGACATACTTTATGTAGACGGTCAACGATAAGAAGCTGTTCCTCTTCCGTAATATCAACCTGGTGTTGAGACCCAGCTTGCGATAGCGGTGCATTAAACCTTCGAAAGAAACAAATGAAATGAAGAATCCAGGCATCGCTAGAGGTTTGCCAAAAATACGCCAATGGGCGAAGAACTTCTTACCATTGTTTGAAAGTTTCCGACGAGTTGAATATTGTCGGCATCAAAAAATTCAGCAAAGCCCAAACTTCTTGTAAATCATTTTGAAGCGGAGTTCCCGTCAACGCTAAACGTCTCTTCACTCGAAACCCGCGACCGGCACGCTTATCTGTTAGTACTTGAACCAATTTGGATTGCGGATTTTTAAGCCTGAGATCCACAGACAGAAAATGAAAGTGAGAATAACGCTTGATTTCATTACCGATGAGCTTCATCGACTATCAAATACTCCCAATTTATTTTTTTCAAGTGTGTTGCATCTTTCATAATGAATGCGTCTGTTGTCAACAATACGTTGAAGGCAACACCAGCATCGTTGGACGTGCCAAAATACTTCATACGCAGGCTTTTACGAAGATCCCTTGATAGAGAAAAGAGCACTATTATCAATATATAATCACTTGTAATGGAAAGATCATCAGCCCAAAAATGCAGCTTACTTGGATCCATCATAAATTACAACATGAAATGATGGGAGCCATTTCTTGAATTCAGCGACCCAGCCACTATGGAGCGTCGATAAGGGCGCCACGATCAAAAACGGTCCCTTTGTGCCCTTCACTTCATGCAGATAACCAAGTAGCGAAATTGTTTGTATGGTTTTACCCAAACCCATTGCATCCGCCTTCAAAACAAACATGTGTTACGCTTTCTAGACGTACTTTCCGTCTTATAAACAGATTGATAGGTCTATTTTATCTACTCACGAGGATTCCATTGAGATTGTTGTTATACAAGGATACCATCCATGACAATCCCTTTAATTGGTACTCTCGCAATTGTCCTCCCTTCAAATTGCTTGGGGGAACAACGACTTCCTCTTGAATTGAATGGGTGAGTTCGAAGTATCGATTTTTCGCTGCTATTAAAGCATCGTATGAAGGACCGTCTTCTCTGAAAGAAAGAAAAACAAAATTTTTTTGCAAGAAAGCGATCAAATGGACCGACTGGGGCTCCTCCTTCGCGTCATTTGCAGCTTCCTCCGTTCTTCCATTACGCTGTTGCTCGTCGCGATGTTGCCTTACGAGAGTTCCAAGTTGATTCATATAGTCTTCTGTTTGTTTGACCAATTCTAATAAGCGCTGATTTTTCGTTTCTCTTAAAAGCTTCATATATTGAACTTCGTCTCTCGCCCGCAACGCCGCCAAACGCTCTCTCTGAAATTGAGCCTCAGAACTCAAATCTTTTCGCTCTCTTGCTGCGAGCTGTCGACTCAGATTCAATGCAACTCTTTTTGTGAGTTTCACGTTTCTTGCATGAAAGTCTACAAAACGATTACGATGTCGTACCACCTGCGAAAGTAGACTTCAGTGAAAACTGATAAGCTGCGGCACATTTTTACCTCTTTAAGAAAATCAAGCCTCGCGCGTTTTCGATCATCCAAATCCCTCAAGAGCATCTGGGATTCAGTTCGAAGACGGCCTAGCAATTTCGTTTTTCTTCCCTCTCGCGATGAAATTGATATTTGCGGAGGCAAATGGGAAACAACAGAACTTCGAGGGTCGTCTGGTCCAAAAGACGAAGCAGACGCACTCGCAATCGAGTGATGGACCGTCACTTGAGTTCTAATGTAATTCTGAAACTCCGCTAGTCTCGCCCAACGACGACGGGAGGGTCGCTTCGATTTAGAATCATCGGTTTTGCCGAGAGCAGCCTCTAGACGTTCATGACCCAGTCCGTTTTCCGCCATGTCGGCAGCAACAGGGACGTCAGTTTGATCTTTCAATTGTTTTTGCTCCTCCTTCCAAAAAGATGGAGACTTCATTCTTAGCAACCGTTGTCTCTTCAAATCATCATACAACTCGAACCAAGTATTGAATGTTTTAACTGGCGCGGGTGGTGCTTCCATAGACGTCGGAGTGTCTTCCTGTTTCTCTTCAAGCATCAGCGCAGATTCAAGCTGATCGATTTCACGGTGCAATCGATGAAGTAGAGTCCCGCGCTTCACGGCACTTTCCGAATCTCTTGATGCCATTCGCAACTTTTCTATCAGAGACGCGTCATGATGAAGTAGAAGAGAAAGTACAGAATCTTGACCCAGAGAGTTTTGTTGATGGGCACCAGGGACTGTTAATACCGCCCGTCCCTCTTCAATTGTGCGTTTGACTTCACTGACCAGAAACGGAAAACGTGTATCGATTCTTAATCCACTTGATTCTGTTGTTGACGCTTCTGCCCTGGATGGTTGAAGTGGTGGAGTGGGAGAAGAACCTTCAGTGTTTTGTTGCGACGGACTCCTAAAAGATCGCTGAATCTGCTGATCTTGTTGTTGCTGCAGTTGCTGTCGTTGCTGGAGCAAGAACAGCTGTTGAAGCTGTTGCTGTTGTTGCATCTGTTGTTGTAACTGTTGTTGCTGTTGTAACTGTTGTTGCTGTTGTAACTGTTGTTGCTGTTGTAACTGTTGTTGCTGTTGTAACTGTTGTTGCTGTTGTAACTGTTGTAGCTGCTGCTGTTGTTGTAACTTCTGCTGTTGCTGTATCTGTTGTTGGTGTAACGGTTGGTGTTGCTGTTGTTGGTGTAACTGTTGCTGTTGCTGGTGTAACTGCTGCTGGTGTAACTGCTGCTGGTGTAACTGTTGCTGTTGTTGGTGTAACTGTTGTTGTTGATGTAACTGTTGCTGCTGTTGTACTGGTTCCTGTTGTCGTTGACTTTGGAGGTGAATATTTTGGGGTTGGTGACGAAGAAGCGACACATTTGGATGACTACGTTGAACCAAAGAGGGAGATGATTGACTTTGCTGATAACCAGAAGGAAGCGACGTTTTCTGTTGCAAGGGAACATATGGACGGGAAGACTGATAAGCCGGCATATTGGGCTCGGCGCGATCCGTAACAGAGTCCCCAACGGAAACGGGAGAGACCGTTGGGACACGACTGTCAGGAGAAGGGAGAATCCCCTGGGGAGCGGAAGGTTGGGGTGTTTTAAGATTATGTAGAATGGGAGAAACACTGGGAAGATATTGAGGGTTAACGTTCATGGGGGTATTTGTGGATTGTCGGGGTGTTGGGGCCTCCGAGGAAGACGAATCCAAAGAAGGAAAATGAGAACTTGTGGGTGCATGGGGGGAGGAAGAAGGACCATGTTCTGTTGAATAGAGAAAAGAGCCAACAGACGAAAAATCCACAGGCGGAGAACTTTCCTCGGAGAGGCGCTGCCGTTTGGCGGGAGGGGGGACGAGTTCTCTCTGACCGATGCCGGGTGCAGTGTTAAACTGACGGTCCAACGACTGTTGAACATTGACATCTCTATGGTCTTGTACGGCAGAATCACTAGTCACCGTTGGTTGTTGCTGTAATTGCGTCCCTCGTTGTTGGCGGGGAGGAACAAGTGGAAATTGGGCTTCCTCGTGGTGTTGACTCATATTAAATTGTTAAAAGGTTCAGGTGGCAGGACTGAAAGAAATTTTTACGAATTCGTAGAAGAGTGGAACTAATTCTTAAGTTAAATAGAAAAATCTCATGAAGGGTTAAAGTTGCTGGGGTTGGCGTTGGAGTGAGATTTCTGGGCGGCTATCTGAACCATCTGTACTTTTAATAAGAGAGGAATCGATGATAGGATCAACAGATGGGAGGTGCTTAGATAATTCCTCAAATGCCTCGTCAGATAGGGACCTTTCCACCGCATAGACTGGAATTGGATCGCGGGACTCCATCACTGCCATCTCGTCGCCTACTTGATCCAAACTGCCAAAACTCCTCTTGGGCTTTGGGAGATTCTCAGGGTTCACCGAACCCGCAGGAACGCCTGATGAAATCGCAGCGACGACACCCTCCCACGTTGGAAAGTCCTTTGCAACAGACGCGGTGGTTGTTTTCCCGCCATCTCGTCCTGAAGCATAAGGCGATCCGTCGTGTCCCTCCCAAAATGAAATTCGATCGACCAGAGGCTCCGAGTGAGGGTCCTCCGTTGGGACCACCCCTGTTGGCGCGCGATGACGATTTGGAACACGACTGATTTCCCGCAAGGGTCTATTGTGATGATTGACCCGAGGGGGAAATTTCCGACCTTCTAGAGACGAACAAGACGACGGAGCCGTTCGCGGCGAACGTGGCTTCGGACATCGAGATTGTGGACGTAAATCTACGATGATGGCAGTCCTGATAGAAGAGTTAGATGGGAGTGTGAAATAGCATGACTCTCACATATTGTCGCAGCCGAATTCAAACAGAGTAGGATTTGGGGAAAGCAATTCTTCGAAAAGAACTTCAAGAATATCACTGAGTTTCACGGCATCCTAAAGAACAGTACGTTATAGAGAGAATCATGAACGTCGACGTATAAAAAAAAAGCTATAGAGAGAATCATGAACGTCTCACATTGATGCGTTCGCGGATAAAATCGACAATTTCTTGCGAAGTGGCAGATTCCCAAATTCCGTCACATCCAACGATCTGGAAAAGAGTGATTGCTCGAAAAACAGAGCTTTTTGAGACTTACAAGAAATTCGTCCTGTTCTTTGAGATCTGCAAAAATAACATCTGGAACGGCCGAGACAATTTGTCTATCGGGAGGTAGAGATGAATTGAGTTTATAGATGAGATCTCCTAGAGCGCGACTTAAATTGAGGTTGCCGTTCACACGTCCCAGTTCGAGCCAGCCACCCGCTGAGACTATGCGAGCCTAACGAGAAAACAGGATGCCGATACTTGTAACAAATTAGCGCCTCACTTTCTCCTCAACCAAATACGGCTTATGGTCTTTAGAGAGTTCCACGGCAACACTTCCTCGACAAAGCACACAACGGCTATCCCCGGCGTTTGCTACGACGACTTGATTGTCCTGAAAACAGGAACGCTAAGAGTTCTCATCTGGATGACGTTTGTCTTACGGTCACGAGAACAGACACAGCAGTACATCCAGCTACCATTGCAAATCCCTGGTTTGATCGCGCCGACCCGATTCGAACCAGCCCCGCAAGGAGCGAGCGGAAACCAGCCAAACTGAAGAAGTTCGGACTTGATTGTGGTCCTTTCGACGAACTGGTTTGTTGTCCAGGAGATGGAGCTGCCTCATTGAGCAGCTGCGCGTCTCTTTCCTTTTTGTCGGTAGCATCACAATTCATTTTTGGATCTCCTTTTGATTCTGTCAGGTCTGAAAATTCGTCAGAGGATACTTCCGCTCTCGGGCTACTCAATACTTCGCTCTCTGTTTTCCTTTTCTTCTCATTTTTTCTGTGAAACATTTTCCCTCCAAGTTTCACTGTTGATCGAAATCCTGTCTTGCATGGAGTATCACTGCCTCCAGGGGAAACCTCAGCTCTTGCCGCAACAGCCTCAAGATCTTCAGCAGTTGTCGTTTGGTTGATTGGAGGGAACTTAGCAAGAATTTGGGGATCAAGACACTCCTTAGAGAAGAGCTCAAGCTCGCATTGGGCTTCTTCACTAGCGAGCAGCGAGTCCAGAGCGATATAAGTTGCGCGGAGACCGGAATCGAACCGACCTAAAAAATTCGCATAAGAATGATTGACAGAATATTGAGTTGAAAGAGAGGTACCCTTTCTAAAATCCGGATTTTTCACAAGTTCATCGACAATGTGACGGGAGACAAAATGGGCCACTTGAGGGCCTCCATGGCCGTCATATACCCCAAAAAGCGCGACGGAAGTGTTGGCTTCGTCGAGATGTTCGAAATAGTGAACAATGTGCGAATCCTCCATCGATGCTCTCCTGGAGAAGCGAAATGAAAATACCAGCAGCCAAATAGTGATACATACCATCCTTGCATTGAAGACAATCCATACTTGAGTTTTCCCAAAGTTCCATTTTTTGAATGTTTTTTCGATACTGGGGAAGTTAGATAATTACCCATCGGGATATTAGACGGAACGATTAGCGCTGGACAAGAAAATAGGACCCGATGTCTACATTCATAAAGAGAAAAGGCTAGAGAGACGGGAATAGAATCCCTTTGAATCTCAGAAGAAATTCTGCGTTAAAGCTGACGGGAAGACCTTTGAAATTGAACGATGATGATGAAAAGCAAGTTCCTTGGAACGATCACTTCATGAAGTAACTTGACAGACAACAACAACAAACACTTCCTGCAGTTAAAGAGCAGACATGGCCCAATTATTATGGAGGGATAAAAAAAATTTACCCAAACGTGGACTCATCAATCACTTTTGGATCCTCAAGAGGAGTAACAGAAAAACAGATAGTCAAGGATCGAGTCCTGTTTACGGTTCCTAGCAAGGCGTCCGCAGTTGAACATAAACGCGTAAACGCCTCCAAATGCAAACAATGGAAGAACGCAGAACATATGAATGGTTTTTTTGTGATAGACCCTCAGGAATCAACCGTCTCTAAAATAACAGAAACTTGACGAAGACTTCTGGCCTCTAATGAAGAACTCAGAATGGGGTTTCAGCGACAATGTGCATGTTGCTCTGGCGTGAGAGGGAACTTGACACGAAGCTGGTCAACGTTACAGATCTTCCCTTGCTTCGCGTAGAACTCAGGACAACATCCTCTTGGTTGTTTCGGTTGCGTTTCTGACTATCTCACGTTGGCTGTGAGGAGGAGAACTGACGCACTCAGAAAGATTCTAGAAAGAACGTACAATATTTTGATCCCGCAGTCTGGGGGGAATCATTTCATGTTGGTCGGAATGGTCCGTTCACTCACTCATTGGCACTAGCAAGTTTCTCATTCATTTTGTTTTTGCATCCAGGAAACAACAACAACTTTCAAAGCTATCAGTATCTCTAACTCGTATTGCTTGAAAGGGAACAAGTCAGCTGCCATCGATGCACTCGTTTCTTGGAACACCATCAGCATACGCTATCTTGTCCACCAGAGCGATCGCGATAATAACATGGGGCAAGCCCTGCTCTCTTCACAACCTTCTCTTTCACACATCGAGGCCGTGAAACATCTTTTCGAAGCAGACCAACCGAACACACATTCTACGTTGATCGATCCACATAACAGTCAGCTTGTCTGTTGTGCGTGTGTGCACAACCAAATGCAATCACAGCAAACCTGGTTGGCATTCATTCATTGGCAATCATCTCCATCCATCAGTTGCATCTTCATCCATCAGTTGCATCTTCATCCATCAGTTGCATTGCATCTTCATCCATCAGTTGCATCTTCATCCATCAGTTGCATCTTCATCCATCAGTTGCATCTTCATCCATCAGTTGCATCTTCATCCATCAGTTGCATCTTCATCCATCAGTTGCATCTTCATCCATCAGTTGCATCTTCATCCATCAGTTGCATCTTCATCCATCAGTTGCATCTTCATCCATCAGTTGCATCTTCATCCGTCAGTTGCATCTTCATCCATCAGTTGCATCTTCAATCCATCAGTTTTTTGATCATGATCCAAAAAAATCACAAGTTATTTCTCACTCTCTTTGCGGTTCTAGTGGTTAATAGTTTCCATTCCATGTGACACAAAGCCTCGAAAGAATTCTGCCAACAATGCATGGATAATCCTTGGACCTTGCCCTTTTGCCGTAATTTTTGCCGCTGCGAACCGTTGCCTGCGCCAACAACCACAACTACGGCAACACGACTGCGGCAACAACCACGACTGCGGCAACAACCACGACTGCGGCAACAACCACGACTGCGGCAACAACCACGACTGCGGCAACAACCACGACTGCGGCAACAACCACGACTGCGGCAACAACCACGACTGCGGCAACAACCACGACTGCGGCAACAACCACGACTGCGGCAACAACCACGACTGCGGCAACAACCACGACTGCGGCAACAACCACGACTGCGGCAACAACCACGACTGCGGCAACAACCACGACTGCGGCAACAACCACGACTGCGGCAACAACCACGACTGCGGCAACAACCACGACTGCGGCAACAACCACGACTGCGGCAACAACCACGACTGCGGCAACAACCACGACTGCGGCAACAACCACGACTGCGGCAACAACCACGACTGCGGCAACAACCACGACTGCGGCAACAACCACGACTGCGGCAACAACCACGACTGCGGCAACAACCACGACTGCGGCAACAACCACGACTGCGGCAACAACCACGACTGCGGCAACAACCACGACTGCGGCAACAACCACGACTGCGGCAACAACCACGACTGCGGCAACAACCACGACTGCGGCAACAACCACGACTGCGGCAACAACCACGACTGCGGCAACAACCACGACTGCGGCAACAACCACGACTGCGGCAACAACCACGACTGCGGCAACAACCACGACTGCGGCAACAACCACGACTGCGGCAACAACCACGACTGCGGCAACAACCACGACTGCGGCAAC